AATGTAATCCTGCTCAAGTTCTTAGTTTACACTCCTCCAGGCTTTTCTAAGGAGCAGAATCTAAAAAGCTACATGAATCATAACTTTATTCGTTAGACTAAATTAAAAATCTAACCATATATAAAAGTAAACTCATGCCTGAATTGTTTCTATTCCCTCAATGAAATAACCACTCACTTCAAAAAAGTCAAAGATTAGTTCCAGGTTATCAGGCTCCATTGTCTGTATGCTGTGCTCTGTCCACCGATCAGGCTGTAAGCCATACCCACACTCTGGCTGTGAGTGCCTGCACTTGAACTCATGGTCACTTATCAAGGATATCTCCAGGCTATTAGACATTTTGTGAAGAACAGTGGGAGATAGCCTATCATCGTCATCTTCCTCCGGCCCCTCTAGTGTAAGCTTTACCCTATATGGATGAAAGAAAACAATGAAATACATTAAGACAGATTCATAGAAATGCACTTAAATGAAAATTTAAGATGTTCTTCAAATATGCTCAAGTAACAATAGCATAGCATACAAAGAATAGCCACACTGTAGGGTAAAGTCTTTGGAGTCTTTTACCTACATATAGAAATTTCTGCCAGGTACTAAAATGGGGTAAATGTTCATCACAAGTTGTTTTAGTTCATGTGTTCTTAGTTTTTTAAATGACTCCAAAGAGGTATTCATTGTTATTCCGATTACAGCTAAATATCTCAATTTCTTAGCATTCAAATAATAACAAAAACTCCTTTTGGGAGGTCTCATGTTTTAGATAGATCTCACAAACACTAAGTTAAACCATATTCTATTAATGAACTTTAAAATGTACACTAGAATTAGAGGTTTAACATAGTGTGATGGTGTACGACTTTAATCTCACCACCCCGGAGGGATATCTCTGTGAGATCAAGACCGGCTGGGGCTACAGAGAGACCCTGCCCCCAAAAGACCAAAAAAATGGAATTAGAGGTTCAAACTGGTCATGGTCATTGCCATTTCCCTCTTTCCTCCTCTACCACAGTAAAAGTCCATAAAAAAATACACTGCTAAAGAAAAATATCACATACATATTTTATGTATTTGCGGGGTTTTTTGAGTTTTGTTTGTTTTGAAGCAGGGTCTTACTATGCATCTCAGGTTGGCATGATACTAGTTATGTAGCTCAAGTTGGCCTCAAAATCAAAGCAATCCTCCTGCCTAAACTCCCGAGTGCTAGGATTACAGGTAGGATTACATGTGGCTTTAAGTATGAGTATTTTCTATGTTTTATATTTTTATATACACACCTTTCTCTTTTTTTTTTTTTTTTTTTTTTTTTTTTTTTGAGACAGGGTCTCCCTGTAGCCCCAGCTGTCCTGGAACTCACTACATAGACCAGGCTGGCCTTGAACTCAGACATCCTCCTGCCTCTGCCTGCAGAGTGCTGGGATTAAAGGCCTGCCAAACCACGTCTGGCTATACATACCTTTCTAATGAAACAAATAAACCAAGAATCTGTAACAGGCCTTAAAGCAACAAAAACAAAGATCAGTTAGTTACCCAAGCCACATTACTTCAAAGAAAAGCAATTGCCAAAAAAAAGCAAAGCAAATGCCAAAAAAAAAAAAAAGGCCAGTTCTAGAATATTTCTTCCAGCAGTTGAACGTAATTATCGTAGAGTAATAAATGAATTACGAAAAATATTGTTCTAGATTTTCTTGGTTTTACTGTGCTAAGATTGAAATAGGGCCTCACCCATGCTAGGCAGCATTCTAGATTTAAGTGGAGCCTGACTTATAATAGAACTGAATTAGTGTGGCCTGATCTCTCTGTATAAACCTCTGCCTCCAACCACTGTGGACACTCATGATTCTGAGGTCTCCCTGACAGGTCAGCTGTATAAATTATTCCATTAATACTTTTCTGATATTGCACTATAAATCAAAAATAACATTTCAATAACTCAAAAAAACACATCTTCTCAGATCCAAACCCTAAGAATGGTTCTAGACAACTGATTCTATTAGGAAACAAACACTCCACCAGGAC